CTTGTGAAAATAAGATTAAAGCCAAGATTCTGTTATTGTGGAAGAACAGCATCCGTTCACATTGTACGAACCAATGAGAACGGAAACGAAGGACGTGTGTTTTTTGTTTGCCCAGACAAATATGTAAGTATGCGTAATATAAATTAATGTTTCACTTGTTACAAATTTCATTTGTCTGATTTCATTAATCGATTCTTTTGCATTGTAGACTGTGAACGAACACTGCAATTTCTTCAGCTTCACAGATGATGATGACAATGATGTTACCTCCACAGATATAAGAACTGAAGAAATCAATGAGCTAAGGAGAAGGCTTGGTGAGCATGATAGAAGGCTTGAAAGGATGGAGAAGATTTTGAAGGCAATGACTTATGTCATTGTATTTTGTGTATTTTTTTACTTTATCATGTAAATGAATGTAATAGACATATTTTGGGAAGTGTTTGAATGGATGTAATGGACATACTTGAATGACGTATTCTATTATGTAATGGACATATCTTGTAATGGACGTATTTTGTAATCGACATATTTTGTAATGGACGTATTGTATTACAAAATTTGATTGCAGTGTTTGAATGGATCTGTTTTATTATGGATTGAACAACCATAACAGATTGAATGGATGAATTTACTGTTTGAACAACCATAACCTGGACCATTTTATTAATAAATCTTTAACAGATTGAACAACCATTCCCTGGAGCATTTTATGATGAATCTGTTTGAATCAATGTTTGAATGGATCAGGAGCATAACAAATTGAGCATAACAGATTGAGCATTCATGGAGCATTCAACATTCATAGAGCATAACAGATTGAGCATTCATGGAGCATAACAGATCTGTTTGAATAGATCTGTTTGGATCTGGATCTGTTTGAATTCAGGTAGATTCACAGACAGATTCAAAATTCAGGCATATTCACAGATAGATTCAGCATTCAAGCAATCTGGAGCATTCATGCATTCAAATACAGATTCAGCAATCTGGAGCATACAACTTCAGCATTCAACGTGCAGATTCAACCTGGAGCATTACCATAAAATATAACCTGGAATATGAAAAACCTAGAATATAACCCGGAGCATTAACATACAGATTCAACATTCAACCAGGAGCATTCAACCTACTGACATACATTAAAAACATGGAATATTACCATAAAATCTGGCTCATTCAGTCACATTCACCATAATAGATATATACATTTCACCATTCAAAATCTGGCTCATTCAGTCACATTCATAGACTTAATCTGAACCATAACCTGGAGCATTGAAGCAGATTCATTGAACATAAAATATTACCATTAAAGTGAAAGGTTTCATCTCCAAATAGATGATTTACAACAGCATTTTTTTACAACAGGTTTTTTTTAGTTCTCATTCAGCATTTACAATAGGTTTATCTGCATTAGCAATCAGATTCACCATTCTGCGCCAACAATCAGATTCACCCATCTTCAAGTAATGCACCACCAATCAAATTCAGCATTCTGCATCTCCTCTTCTTGAAAAAATTGACATCTTTATTTAAATACTTTAACATCTCCATTACATCCCAACCTGATACAATCAAAACATCTCATATTTGGAATTGGCCCCCTATGTACAACTTGGCCAAGTCAATGCATATAGCTCCCAATTAAAAGCAGTGATAAAAAATTATCATTAAAGCGATTGTCGAATTTTGAGTATGAGATGTGCCTCAAATATTGTCCACTGTTTGCATTTGACTAAACTGTGCCTATTCAATAAACAAGTACACTTTACAAATATTGTCCATTCAACATATATATCAATTAAAACAAGAGCAAATATTTTAGTTTAAACATTTACCACATACCGGTACATACATACTCTGTTGTATGCCATCTATGCCAGGAAAATAGTAAGGTGCATTTTGCGTCGCCTTATGATCATAGTAACACAATTTCATTATACATAAAATACATTAAACTATAAAATTACCAACAATATAAAAATTCAAATACATACCGGGTCATGACAAGTATTGTATTGCATATCATCGGTACCAGGAAAATTTAACTTTCGAGGCTGACATTGACGAACCGTGTGTCCCTATAGTAAGACACAGACACATAGGTGAATAATTTATCTTAAATACATTTAACAATTTCCATGCCACACACAACAAAAAAAACAAAAAAACTTACTTGTGCTTTTGGAGGCTTTTTACTCTTTCTCTTCAACCGATTCACTATTGCATCCACTTTGCTAACCTTCCGTTTGGTACATGGACGTCCTCTTCGGCGAGCAACCATTGGACTAAGCATGTTGTGAGACATGCTTGCTTTAGTAGTACTACGAGCAGACGGACTTCTCAACGAAGTATGAGAATGTGGTACATTACTAGTAGAAGGTGGTGCATGACTCGCACTACCCGATTGATCTTTTCTCACTCTATCTTTGATTTCTATCAACCCAAGATAAAGCACTTCGTGTTTACCATCATTGTTACCAGCAATTTCTATGATTTCGTCCAACATCTTGTGGTATTTGTCATGCAACTTTGCATTAAGAACAGCCCCGGCTTTAGTGTATGTGGTTGGAATGCTTGTGTACCCTCTTTCGATATCTTTTTTCCATCTTGATACAATGTATTTATCTGGCATTTGATATATACACCTCTCAAGTAGCACAGTAATTGCATGGACACACATAATGCCCCCCAAAACTCAAACCACCGACACATACAATGCAATTCACATTCAGTTGCATTAAAGTACACAACAAATTCCACTGTCTTCATTTTCTCACCCACAAGCACAGCCTCCTTCACATGATAAGTACACATTGCTCCCTCCTCTTTGACAAGATTCGCACGACAATACAATAGTCGTTTCAATTCTACTTGCACTTCTTTAAACTTTGCATTCGTGTATGCTACACGAAATTGCTTCTCAAACTCATATACCGTTAAGCAATCATACAATTTTTTTCGAGATTTTAAGTCTGCTTTCATCTCTTTCTCAACCTTACTTCTCAAGGCATGATCATATTGTTCAAAAAATTGCTTTAAAGTTGTCTTTGAGTTCACATATCCATCAAAAAATGCGTTCATGCTCTCACTTCGTTGTGTAGTCGGCATGCCAGCCCAAAAAACATCCTTCACATACACAGGAATCCACCCGTGTCGCTCACTGTATAATACCCCTAACCAGTCATTATCATCAAGGTTGAACTTTCCAATCATCGCTTGCCATTCTTCATCAAATTCATGTTTTGTAAAACAATCATAAACTGCATTTTGTAACGCAAGCTTGATGGATTCATATTGGGCATATCCTCTTAATTTCTCAGGAATTTTCTTCATGATATGCCATAAACACCAACGATGTCGAGCTTCTGGAAAGAGAACTTCAATGGCATTTTGCATTGTTCTGCACTGGTCTATTATTATAGCTTTTGGAGGAACGTCAGACATGCAACTTAACCATTCTCTGAATAGCCACAGAAATGTTTCAGTGTTCTCATTAGATAATAGCCCACAACCAAGCAAAATTGACTGCCCATGATGATTAACTCCTACAAATTGAGCAAATGGCATATCATATTTATTTGTCAGATAAGTTGTGTCAAATGAAACCACATCCCCAAATGCTTTATAAGTTGCCATACTCCTTGCATCCGCCCAAAACAAATTTCGCATGCGACCATCTTCATCGAGGTCAATTGCATAATAAAAGTTTGAATTTTGTTGTTGCATCCTATGAAAATAAAGTGCAACTGATTCAGCATCTCCTACTCCAAGCCTCAATCTTCTCATACTCTGAATATGATTCCTTGCATCTTGTTCATCAAATGATAATGCCTCATAACCCCCTGCTTCAATAACTATAGAATGAAAATTCCTAGCCACCCTTATCCATGGTTCATCGTTTATTTCTATTCTTCTCTTCGTAGGGGTAAGAATTCTCTTATTCATTGCAAAATGTCGTGAGTCACTAAGAATCAAGTCATGCGTATGTTGAAGGACAACTGTGGTCAACTTAAATCTTCCATCCTTTTGTAGAGTTGCTCTAGCCTTTGCTTTACACTCAATGAATGATGACAAAGTTGGTTCGAGAGGGTGTACTTCTGATCGTTTTGTTCTCTTGCATGCCCGAGTACATTCAACTCCAAAGTAATTTACTTCCCCATCTTGTCCAATATTCTGTGTTCTATAAGCTACAACAAACCTGAGGTGCTTTGCATATTTTGCATAAAACGAATATACTCCTTGCTTTGAGTTAAAACACATGCCCTTCTCAGGTTCTTGAACTTCACCAATCTTATTTAATGATGAATTGTTTTCTGCCTCTTCAACTTCCTCACTCCCATTCAATGAAGGATTAGTTGAATCAATGTCCATTGAAGCGTGTAGTTCGTGTAGCTTCAAACCAAATAGAAAATAAAGTGTAAGTGCATGTATGTGCATTTCAATTTTTCTAAGGTTCTCCAACTTAACCAGTAACCACATAGTTTTTCATATTGGATTGGGATATTTCATTACAATGATTTTCAAGTTCTTAGATGGTAAATGACAACAATGGATGACAACATTGAGATGAAAACAATATAAGAGCATTTTCAAGGTCAACCAGCAATGGACTAAGATAAATTCAACACATTCATCTCAATAATGAGTTAATTCTTACACTGAGATGATCTCAGTAAAGAGTTGATTAGGTAAATTAAAAACACTGAGATTAGGTAAATTACCCTAAATGACAAAATTAGTTTCAAACATAATTTAGTATGACACAGATTAGCATCAAGAAAGATGACACAGATTAGCATCAGGACTTTCATCAACCAACACATAAAAAATCAGGACAATTACTCTATGGGGACTTTCATCAAACAATTGGCATGCATCACTACAATGGAAATGCTTAACAGAGGGCTTGGTTCCAGAACAACCAATTTTTTTTTTTAACAGACACAAATCAAATCAAATAAATTGCCTCTTACAAATGCATCTCAGAAAAAAAAATTGTAGACCAATAACGAGATGTTCAATCTGTTTAGAAAAATAAGTTAATGGTTCCTAGAGTGCATAGATAATCTGTTTATCTGTTTATCGGATTTATGAGTATTATAAAAAATTCATTTTCTATAGTTTTGTGAAAACTGTATCAAATATCACTTGCCAAGAAAACTCTACCAGATAAACATATTATAATCTGTATCAAATATCAGTTGACAAATGAGGCAAAATGTTTATAAACCAAATATCTGTATCAAATATCAGTTTATAAACCAATTCCTTACCTACATGCACAGATACAAAATGTCTAGGACATTTGGCATGGAGATTCTGAACAGCGGTGGACAGTGGTCAGCGGCACTCGTCAGTGAACAGAAGGTCGGTCGTCGTCGTCGTCGCCTCTCTCGCCATCGTCGTGGTCGCAACCTCCCTCTCTCTCCCTTCTCCCCTCTGCCCTCTCTTGTTTCTGTTTTTTTTTTTTGTTTCATTTCATTAGTTTGCTATGCAGAGCACGTGAGCTCCACGTGCATCAAATTTTTGGAGGGAAACTAATTTTGAGCCATTCGAGTCGTTGTGTGTTTCGGGCCCTGTAGCAGCTCTGCAAAACAAAATTATTTTTTCGAGCCATTCGAGCCGTTGTGTATTTCGGGCCCTGTAGCAGCTCTGATACCAAAAATTGAATGCCTTGCCTAAATCATCGATCCCACGAGCCGTGTGCAATTCCTTCCCTTAGTTTGGTGTCAATGAAATTGGCAATACTTGCCACGTGCAAGTGCAGTTCCAAATTTTTTGGAGGCCCAAAATAAACTCCCAATATAATGAGGCCTTTCAAAAATACTTAAAAATAAAATAAAATAAAAAAATTAGCATAAAAAATTATATATCTAAATTTTTTTATTTTTTATTTGCGTGTGTTTGGCACTATTGATAATTTTAAAAAAAAAATACTTCTCATGCCAAAAATGATAATGAAAAAGAAAAACTAAAGTAACGTTTAGTTTGTTTTTAGAATCATGATTTGGATAAAAAAGAAAGAAAAAAAAAAAAGATCAAAACTCTTTTTAAAATTCATAATCATACAAATTTTTTGAAACTCTCTCAAAAAAAAAAAAAATTCATAACCAAACAAATTTTCAAAACTCTATTTTTTTTAAAAAAAAAAAAAATTCAACAATTTTTTTTATTTTGTTGTTTAATTTTTTAAATTTTTTTGAAAAAAATACTTTTTTCAAAAAATATTTTTATTGTTTTGAAAAAATATTTTGTTATTTTTTTTAAGTATTGAATAAATAATTTGTTATGATTTAGATATATATGGC